CACGGCCAGGGCTACACAGAAAAACCCTGTCTTTAAAAAACAAACAAAAGGAGTTCCTTCCTCTCCCATTTCTCCCTCCCTCCCTCCCTCTTTCCCTCCCTCCATTACTTCCTGAGTAACCAAGAAACTTCCATGAACTTCTCATCTTCCTGCCTCCACCTCCTAAGTGCCAGAATTAACAGAGTAGATCCTCATACTTGGCTTATGTGGTGCCAAGGATCAGAACCATGGCTTCATGTACTCTCCATGTATGCTAGGCAAACACTATTCACTGAGACATGCCACTAGTCCTGTGTGTTATTTCTTTAAAACAGGAACCTCTGTCTGCAGGAGCTTGCACTGGTCACCATGAGCTTGTTCCATGGGATAGACTCTCCCAGAAGGCTGTCATTATGTAGCTCCAATGTGAGGAACTCCATGGGTGGGTGACTCCTACCCTCTTGTTTTACCATCTTGGGAGCCTCTGCCAGAAGCCTGGCATCATGGGGGTTTACCCAGAACTGCCCATCTTGGATTATCCTGGCATAGTCTATCATCCTTGTACAATATGAAGCGTCAATAAATCCACAGAGTCTCCAAGGGGCTACAGAGCTGAGGTGTGTGGCAGTCCTTTGCCACAGAAGCACACTAGGGGTCTCCTCTGGGGCACTGGCTGTGCCACCTGGGCAGAGGTGAAGGGAGCTGGAAAGACAGCTGGCAGAGGACAAATGGCAGCAGAGGGGTAGGGTCTGGGTGTAGAGTGGAGAAACTTGAATACCCCAAATGTTGCCCAAGAACCTGCATAAGGAGCTGCAGGCACCTGTGTGTCACAAGTGCCTTGTTCCCCGCAGGCTCCTGCGTGTTGGCCCAGTCAGTTCAGCAGCCACAGATCTCACTGATGGTGCTCTGCTGGAAGCTTAGAGTTCCCTCAGTAACATGTCCATTCATCCTTCATCCTTTATCCTCTAAAGTCATTCACCATTAAATTAGATGCCCCAGGCTTGATTTCAGGGCTTGACAGTTAATATCTCACCCTTCTGGCCACTGCCAACGGCTGCTTCTCCACAATGTCCTGTGGACTGAGCTTAGCAGAGTGCAAGATGTCTATTATTCCACCAGATCATACAATGTGATATTAGAATGTTTTTTTTTCTCTTCCTTTTTCTTTTCAAGGTCCTCGAGTTGACTTCAAGATTATTAAAATCTCAGTTCACTGATTCTGGGGTGTGAATAGGGGGGTTCAACAGGGCACCTACCAAGACCCCCTACCCAGGAGCCTGGCCACCCTCTGGTCTAGAGTTAGGGGCTTGAGGCCCTCTTAGGCCCTCCCTACATGGGGCTTCTTGCAAGCATCAATTTCAGGCTCCAGATAGGACAACATCATCTTAGGCCCTCCCTACATGGGGCTTCTTGCAAGCATCAATTTCAGGCTCTAGATATGTCCACATCCCCCTGAAGCAGCCACTTGTGGGATGGAGCTGGGCAGGACTGGTCCCTCTCTGACTACGGGTCTGACATGTCATCTTCAGCCTATCCAAGAAGGGAGCCAGCCACAGACAACCTCCAGGATGTTAGCAGACCACAGTGCCCCCTGCTGTCCACCATACCAGGAAGATACTGTGGTCTCACACACAGTGTTCTGAGTCTGGAACCCTCCTGGGACATCATGAGATGGATCAGAAAGAGGCACGTAACTTAAGCACACTTCCTTCTAATTCCTACCCACACTTTCCTTCCGTACTCCCTCACAACCCTCTTCCCATCTGCACACACCCCTCATGTGCCCCGGGTCTTCCTGTCCCCCCCCCCCACGCACCCCTCACATGCCCCAGGTCCTCCTGTACCTGCACACTTGCCATGTTTTCTTCAAGCTCCCCCTGTTACATCTTTTCTCCCCTAGCTCTCCTTGGAACACTGTAGAGCCAGTGTCCAGATGCAAGGAAGCCGGCCAGAATAGGGACCTTTCCTCCTGTACCCTACTCCCAGTATAGTCCCTGGGTACCTGCTCTGCTCCTTCTGAGCCACCAAGAGACTCCAGTTAGTCAGGCAGGGAGAGCTAAAAAACAACAACAAAAAGGGCCATGGAGAGGAGGGGGCTTTTTTGCTTTGAATTCCACTCCATATACCCAAATTCTCGAGAGGGAAAGTGCTATATGCCTTCCCTGACTCAGTCTGGGTCTTGGGGAACCACTTAATCTTGCTTTAAGTCAGCCATAGCAAAACCACCCATTTCCAGGAGCCAGTTTCCTGTTGGTGCTGCCTCTGAACTGGTAACCTGCAAGCCCTCCCCATGCTGTCCTAGAATCACCGGCATGTGAGAGGACCTGAAGTAACCGGCATGTGAGTGGACCTGAAGTAACAGGACCTAGTGCCCCTTGTTTCTGTTAAAGGTGCTTTTTGTTTATTATACACTGCCACCTAATGGTCAATTGTGGGTCTTGCACCCGAGTGAGCCTTCCTAAAACTGTGCAGGTTTCCAAAAACTGCAAGGGGGGTAAGAAGAGACCTAGATTGTTCCACCCGAGGCACCCTGCAGTTGCACATGGACAAAACCTTTTTGGTCTCTCTGCCTCTTTGGTAAACTGAACTCTCATACCTCAGAACAGCTCTTGTCTTTCCAGGCCTTAGAATCCCAGGTGCAAGATTAGACCAAGGTCTTCTAAGGTTTTTAAGAT